GACGCAAGCGCTGGAGGGAGGGAGGAGAAGCAGGAAGTGGCTTTTTTTTTTCCCGCTCTGCCGGCAGCCCCGGACGTTGCGGGGCCCTCTTAGGCGCGGGGCCCCATTCCGGGAAATCGGCCGAATCGGCTTAAAGCCGGCCCTGGCAGGAGGCACTGGGGGGAGGGGGAGATGCTTATAGAGGGCCTGTGGGTGGGTGCTCAGCACCCACCATTTTTTCCCCGTGGGTCTCCAGACCTGGAGCACCCTCGGAGTCGGTGCAAGTGAGCGTAACTATGTCACTCGTGGGTGTGGATTTTTCACACCCCTGAGTGAAAGCGCTGGGTCGAGTTAATTCCAGTGTCGACCTGGCCTCACAAATTCATTGCAGTGGTTGTGTATTTTCTGTCACCTTTTCATCAGTGACTGGACCCTGTAATGCCTGTGGAGTTTCACTTAACTGGGTGTTCAGGTACAAAAAGATGTACAAAGGACATCTGTGACGGAGCGGAGAACTGAACTGGTAGCTCCAAAGTCCTAGAGGGGTGGTAGCCTTCTTCTCTTCTTCCTACTGGAATTTTAATCGGCAATGATCAAAACGTTCCATTTGCATAAGGACAGAATGTTTTGTTTTGACGGTCTCATTTGGACGTCTGGATTGCGTAACACAATATTTCAGTAAGGGCGAAACTAGTTTCTGAATATTTCATTTTGGGACAAAGGCTGAGAGTTTGACATATTGTCCTGTTTTGGTATGAAACCGAATGTTAAACTCTCAGAATTTCTTGTGGAATAGAAATTCTGAATTTCATCCAGCTCAACTTTCTAGCTCTAGGTGGAAAATATGACCCCTAAAATCTCCAAAAGGCAGACGACAGATAAAAAGATCACAGAATTTTTATTTATTTTTTAATCTCATGATTTTCAATTCAGTATCATGAGTTCTAAGGGAGGACCTGCCTAGTGAGGTTGGAAGGCAATGAAATAGTTAACGACACTGCAATTTTAATTCTCCTGATTCTGTCATGATCCATGTAATGTCTGCTCTTTTCCTTAATGCCCCAGTTACAGGAGTCACGTGATTTTTGCTGGAGAATCTCATCTTTCATTTAAAAATAAAAAATAAAATTCTTGACTGCCCAGTTGGGGACCACAGCGTGAAAATGTTACTCCTCCAGGCTTACAAACCACAAGCCCCCTATAAAGAACCCATAATTATGTGTTAATTATTAAATTCTTATGATTGGGAAGCCAATTTTGTGATAATTTTGCACCTCACTCGTGATGCTCAGGATTGGTAACTCTACTGATTCCATAATCGTAAAGTTGCTTAAACACTTACTTGGCAAAGGGTATTTTTGGTCTTGTGTAACACTGATAATCTCTGGGGGTCCTTTGCCAGGAAGGGAGCATTGGCATTGGGACACAAAATGGTTTGAGGGTTTCCGAATTTGCCAGCAACCAGTGTTCAAAAGTAATGAGCCCGCCTCTGCAAAAATCATAAGATCGGCTTGATAACCATGAGAATTAAATTGATATAGTTGGGGAGAAACTGCCCAAGCAGTGTAAGCGATGCAGAGGTGCTTACCTGAATCTTCAGCCAGTCTGAGATGATAGCTCGGAGAAGGGGAAACTGCCCTGAATGGAACTGACACAGTGATGTCTGCTTGAATCTGCAGAGAGCCTGAACCAATTAATGTGAAGGGGGGGGGGGAACTCCCCCAAGTGTAACCAATGCAGCAACATCTGCTTGAGTCTGCGGGAAGCCTGTGCTAATTGTTCTGAGAAGGGGAACTGCCTCAAGTGTAATGGACGCAGAGATGCCTGCCTGAGTCAGCAGAGAGCCTGAGCCAATCGGTCTGAGAGGGGGGAGCTGCCCGGAGTGTAACTGACACAGCAATGCTGCCTGAATCTGCCGAGAGCCTGAGTCCATTACCCTGAGGATGGGCTACTTCCCAGATTCACAGCAGTGGGTGCTAATCATAGAATCATAGAAGATTAGGGTTGGAAGAGACTTCAGGAGGTCATCTAGTCCAACCCCCTGCTCAAGGCAGGACCAATCCCCAACTAAATCATCTCAGTCAGGGCTTTGTCAAGCCAGGCCTTAAAAACCTCTAAGGATGGAGATTCCACCACCTCCCTAGGGAACCCATTCCAGTGCTTCACCACCCTCCTAGGGAAATACTTTTTCCTAATATCCAACCTAGACCTCCCCCACTGCAACTTGAGACCATTGCTCCTTGTTCTGTCATCTAATTCAGCTGCCCAGTGATCACATTTTAAATGCAAGTCTTGCCAACACCACGTGTTCAAATCCCATGAGCCAGGCCCTCCAAAATCACGAGAATGGCTGAAAAATAATTAGATTAATCATAACATATGTGAGGTTCTATTTATTTGCCTTCTGGTATTGGTGCCCCTAGGGGTCACATTTTGAGCACTGCCAGCCAAATCTCCCTGAAACCTCCCGCTGGCTCTGTCGAGACATTCTCAGGCCAGGTGGAAAGTGCTCTGAGCGCTGGGAGGAGACGCCCTGCAGGGTTATATGGACACGCTGTTCTGAGCCTCTGCGGGGTCCAGGTAGGGGTAGCTAATGGGCAGTGACTTGTTCCTCTGCTGGATTTCCTTGGAGATCTCCACCAGATGTGCCTGGAAGGCTGCAATAAGCCGCTTGGGCTCTGCCTCAGTGTGTGCTCCTCAGGGTAGTAGCCCATGGGTCTCTGGAAAGAAGCAAAGAGAGAAGTGACTATGGAGGTACTGAACTCACATTTCCTGCTCGGCAAAGGGGAAGAACCAGGGTCCATTCCAAGCTGGCCCGAATGTACTACTTCTTGGATCCCTTCTGATGCTCCTGGGTAATGGACAATCAGGCACAACTGATGCTTTCTCCTGCCCTTTGGGTACCAGGGAATCTCTCACTAGCCACCCATGAGAACAACTCCAATATCTGCTTCCAACAGAACATAAGAACGGCCACTCTGGGTCAGACCAATGGTCCATCTAGCCCAGTGTCCTGTCTTCCAACAGTGGCCAGTGCCAGGTGCTGTAGAGGGAATGAACAGAACAGGGCAATTATCAAGTGATCCATCCCCAGGTACCTGATGCCTGCTTCTCTCCGCCTCCTCCCCAAGGCTCCCCCTGCCTGCCCGCTGCTCGCTCTTCTCTGAGCCCCCAAGTGTCTCCCACCCACCGCTCCCTCCTTTCTGCCCCCTCCTGCCTTAAGGGCGCGTGATGGGGGGAGGAAGCGGAGAGGAGGGAGCTGCGGGAGGTGCTCAGAGAAAGAGGCAGAGCCGGAGCGGGAAGAGGCACAGCATGGGCGGGGCTGCAGAGGAAAAGGCGGAGCAGGGGCGGGGTCATTGTCCGTGAGTGCTGAGCATCCCTATTTTTTTCCCAGGGGTGCTTGAGCCCCAGAGCACCCAGGGAGTCAGCACCTAGGATGCGTTGTGTGATGAACGACTTCCCTGTGTTTGTTTTACTCCTGCTGCCCATCCTGCGGCATTAAGTTTCCCATATAACCCCAAAGGCAGTCTGGTGAGATTGTCCTGCCATGCGCATTGAACCTCACCTGATTTGGGTTTTTACCCTGGGGAGGGGAGTCACTAGGGAAATTTCCAAGGAATTGTTTTCCATCCGAACATGGAGTTTTGTCACAATGTAAATGTTTCACAGGAGCGCGTCAATTCCATTGGGAAAAAAGTGGAAATCATTTAGACTTTCTCATTTAATTTTGATCCGGTGAAAATGTTTTGTTTTGACTTTCTCACTTCATTTAAACTTGTATATTCTATTATAATCTTTTAATATTCTATTATATTTAATATTCTATATATTTTACATTATCCTGTAGTGTTTTGATGTGATCAAAATATTTTAATATATTTGTATAGAGTATATTTAATACTAAATTACAGTGTTATGCCATTAGAGAAACAAAACTTTGAAATATTATAGTGTATATATATTATATTTAACATTTAACATGCTGTAATGCAGAAGTGTTCAATAAATGTTTCTGTTCTGTAACTGGGGGAAAAAACAGATGTTGCAGTCATATCATCCAATGATGATAACGCTCTTTCCTTTCCATTAGTATCTCAGGAGGAATTTAAACCTCAGCCACTAAAGATAGACATTTTTTAAATCAGCAGATCCAGATAACTTGCAACCAAGAGTTTTAGAAGAGCTGGCTGAGGAGCTCACTGGGCTGCTAACGCCGATTTTCAATAGGTCTTGGAGCACCAGGGAAGTTCCAGAGGACTTGAAGGAAGCTAACATTGTGCCAATATTTAAAAAGAGTAAATGTGATTTCCCAGGCTGGTCAGCCTGATGTCAATCCTGAGCAATATAATGGAGCAGCTAATAAGGGACTTAATAAAGAATGAAAGGAGTGTAATATAATGAATGCCACTCAGCATGGGTTTATGGAAAATAGATCCTGTCACACTAACTTGATATATCTTTTTTGGATGAGATTACAAGCGTGGCTGATAATGGTAATAGTATTGATGTAATAGACTTAGACTTCTGTAAGGCATTTGACTTGGTACCACCCGGCATTTTGATTAAAAAGCTAGACCGATATTAACTGAACATGGCATACAATGAATGGATTAAAGAGAAGGGAGGGTGGCAATGCCATACCGTGCCACCCTTCCTTCTGCGCTTCCCTATCTCTCCACTCCGCCTTCAGAGCTGGGCGGCCAGAGAATGGCAGCTGCTGGCTGAGCACCCAGCTCTGAAGCACAGAAGGAAGCAATTTCAAAACGGCAGAAATTCTCCGTGGGACCCAGCTCCACTAGGAAGGCTGAGTTGGGGGATGGGTCCTTCACAACCACCCTAATTTGCAGGGCTGATGAATATGCATGGACTTATTTCCATAAATGCCCTCTTTCTTCCAGAATTCCTCAGCCATTGTCTCCCCCCACACACACATCTGTCCCTCTGTCTCCCCCAGCCATGCCCAGAGCTCTCAGCCAGCATCCATGGGGCTGCCCCACTCACCAGGTCTCCTGGCTCGTAGCTCACAACGGCAAGGAGGGAGAGGAGGGCGAGGTGGCGTTCACTGCGGGCAGGGTGTCCAGGATGCTGCGCAAAGTCGTGGTGCCCTTGGTGGTGGGCGGGGGAGCTCTCAAGGTTGCTGGTGTGTTGGGCATCCAGGCGGCGAAATCGTACTGTGATACAGACACACCCTGGTGGGTCAGAGCCTCACCTTGCGGGAGGGAAAGCTACCCCAGAGAACCCAGGAGTCCTGAGAAAGGGACCCTAGTGGCTACAAAGCTGGGCTGTTGTCACCGAGTATGGGGGACTCAGGGCCCTGCACCCCCGGCTTCCTGCGATTCACCATGACTCTCAGCCAGCCAGTAAAGCAGAAGGTTTATTTAGACGTCAGGAATACAGTCCAAGACAGGTCTTGCAGGCACAGACAACAGGATACCCCTCAGTTAGGTCCATCTTGGGGTCCTCGGGCGTCCCAGCCCCCTTGGGAGGTCAGAGCCCTCTCTGCCTCCCAGCCACCTCTCCAGCCCGCTCCTGAGACTCTGCCTTCAGCGACCCCTCCCACAGCCTTTTTCAGTTTCCCGGGCAAAGGTGTCACCTGGCCTCTCACTCCTTCCTGGGTTCTCATGTTACATGCTCAGGTATTCTCCTTCGGCTAGTCTCCCATCCCCCCACTGCAGACTATCCTAGCCACACTCCCCTGTCAGCATTCACAGACCACATTAAGAACAGTCCCAGTTCGTCACATCTCTCCCCCCTTCGAGACCGAACTGAGCAGGGTCACTTTAGCCAGTGACCCGGGGAAGTTCGAACCTACCCCCGTTCCCATGGATGCCCCAGCATCCCTCCCATTCCTTGGTGAGAATTACACCAGGCCCCTCCAGTTTCACGCCCCCCCTTAGGTCGGGGGTGCTCGATGGCACTCGCAGTTCGCATGTGGGAAGGTTTATGCGGCCTGTGCCCTTTTCCCACCCCAACACCCCTGGGGTGCCAACTGGGCTGTGGTCTTCTCCCAGCGTTCCAGTCTGGAGGTCGGTGATTCGGGCTCTCTTGGTTCAAAGCCCCCCTTTTAACCTTGGCCACCCTCCGGAAAGGCTCCTTTATGCTGGGCAAGGGTTCTAAAGCCATTTTCCCCTTGTCCCGGGCCTTCCTTCCCTTCTGGCAGGGGTCACAGGATCGGCAGTACTGTCGGACAGTAACAAAGACCCCAGGCCGGTAAAAGCTCCGTAGCAGCCTCTGCTGGGTACGCCAGGTTCCCTGGTGCCCTGAGAGGGGGGTGTTATGGGCCCGGTACAGCAGCTGGCGGCGATACTTCTGGGGTACCACCAGCTGCCTCCTGATCCCCCCTGACTCCATTTTCCCTGGGGGAGCCCATTCTCGGTACAGGAACCCCTTCTCCCACAGGAACCTTTTCCGGCCACCTCTCCCCATGGTCTGTATTGCACTGAGGTCGGCCAGGTCCCTTATCTTCCGCAAGGAGGGATCTTTCTGCACCTCAGCCTGGAACTCAGCAGCTGGGACAGGGATGGCCACCTGCTCTCTCTCGCTGGCTGGGTCTGAAGCCGCAGCCTCCCTGAGCCGTGTCCCTGGGTGTTCCCTCTCCACCAGGTTAAGGTCCTGCGCCTCGGGCCAGGCACCCTCCCCAAGGTCAGGGCGCAGTGCCCCTCGCCGGCTCTGACGGCGGGTCACAACCAGTGCACTTTGGGGGTTGCTTGGCCAATCCTCCAGGTCCCCCCCCCCCCAATCAACACCTCAGTGGGCAAATACGGGTGTACCTCCACATCCTTGGGGCCCTCCTTGGCCCCCCACTTCAGGTGTACCCTCGCCACGGGCACTTTGACTGGTGTCCCGCCCACCCCCATCAGGGTCAGGTAGGTGTTGGGCACCACCTGATCTGGGGCCACCACCTCGGGCCGGGCCAGCGTCACCTCTGGGCCCGTATCCCAGTATCCATCAACCTTCCTCCCATCCACCTCCAGGGGAACAAGGTACTCTCTCCGGAGGGACCGTCCCGCGCCCACCGTATAAACCAAAAACCCTGAGTCTGGAGCATCCAGCCCCCCAGAGGAGCTGGCCTGGAGCTCTCCTCCCTCCTTAACAGGTGGTACTCTGCCAGCCCCCCTTCCCTGGGAAGGCTGCCTCTCGCCTGGTTGGGTCTCTACCCAGTCAACCCTCTGTGGGTTCGGTCTGCTCAGTTTGTCCCTGAGCCTGGGGCACTGGGCCCGTATGTGGCCTCTCTGGCCACAGTTATAGCAGCCCATGTCCCATGGGTCCCCTCGAGTGGGTCGGATGGCCCTGATGCCGGATGTTCCCCTTTGATGGAGGTTTTCCGTATTTTCCCACGGGGAGGTCCCATTGTGGCTCTCTCTCTGCGTTGTGGTGGGACTGTTCCTTTGGGACTCCTCCCTGTTATCCCCTGACCGGCTCTTTACAAACTCATCGGCCAGCCGGCCTGCGTGTCGCGGGTTCTCTGGCTTTTTGTCCCTCAACCACAGCCTCAGGTCGGATGGGCACCGCTCATACAGTTGCTCCAGTACCAGCAGTTTAACCAGGTCATCCTTCGTCTGGGCCTCATCTGCCCACTTGCTGGCGTATCCCTCCATGCGGACGGCTAGTTGCAGATATGAGATCTCAGGGGTTTTATCCTGACTCCGGAACCTTTCCCGGTACATCTCAGGAGTCAGCCCAAACTCACATAGCAGGGCCTTTTTGAATAGTTCATAGTCCCCTTTCTCCGCCTCTTCCAGTTGGCGGTACAATGCCACGGCTTTGGGGTCCAGTAAGGGGGTGAGAACCCGGAGTCTGTCCGCAGGATCAACCTGGTGCAGCTCGCAGGCCGTCTCAAAGGCATCCAGGAAATCATCCATGTCCTCCCCCTCCTTACATGGGGCCAGGATGCACTTAACAAAGCTCCGTGCAGTCCTGGGTCCCCCCTCACTCACCGCAGCTGGGGTCTCGCGGCCCCTCAGCCTCGCCAGCTCCAGTTCATGATGCCTCTGTCTCTCATTCTCCTCCCGTTCATGATGCCTCTGTCTTTCACGATCCTCCAGCTCTCTCAGTTTTAGCTCTATCTCCCATTCCAGCCCATTCCGCTCCATGGATGGCGCGCGTGGCCGGGAGGATCCCCTGCTGGCCGGGGGGGGGGGGGGGTCACTGCGCCCTCGGTATTTGCTGGGCTCCTCCCCACCCTTCCCCTAGGCATAGGAAGGAGGGGTCTCGGGAAGCCCTCAGCAGCCGGCTGACCACTCCCAGATGGGACAGACACTGGGGCCTGCGCTGCATCTGCCAGGCTGCTTCCCTCAGAGACAGGGATCAGTTCATTTGCGCGATCTCCCTTCTCCAGCTGGGCAATGAGCTGTTCTTTGGTGAGCCTCCCAATGCGCACCCCCCTCTGCTTGCACAGCTCCACCAGGTCGCTCTTAAGCCGCTTGGCATACATCTTCCTGCTGGCCACTCACAGGCCTGTGTGCTCACCGCTCCCCACAGTTTCCAGGGAGACCCCTAGTGTGCCAGCCCTTCTCGAGGTCACCACCTCTCTGCCAGGGTCGAGCTGCAGATTCCTCCGCCCCTGGGACCACTCGCTGCGATCCCCCGGGGGACCCTGTTACTGCAAAAATCCTTCTCGCTGGTCACACACTCCCAGGGGTGATAACCGTCTCTCTCTGACTCTTCAGCACGCCTGGTTCCCGTCAATCCCCCTTCGTTTTACTTCTCCCCAGTCACTTACTGCAGGAAGCGCCGTCCACGGGGTGCAGTAGATCCCGCCGCTGCCACCAGTTGTCACGGAGTATGGGGGACTCAGGGCCCTGCACCCCCAGCTTCCTGCGATTCACCATGACTCTCAGCCAGCCAGTAAAGCAGAAGGTTTATTTAGACGTCAGGAATACAGTCCAAGACAGGTCTTGCAGGCACAGACAACAGGATACCCCTCAGTTAGGTCCATCTTGGGGTCCTCGGGCGTCCCAGCCCCCTTGGGAGGTCAGAGCCCTCTCTGCCTCCCAGCCACCTCTCCAGCCCGCTCCTGAGACTCTGCCTTCAGCGACCCCTCCCACAGCCTTTTTCAGTTTCCCGGGCAAAGGTGTCACCTGGCCTCTAACTCCTTCCTGGGTTCTCATGTTACATGCTCAGGTATTCTCCATCGGCCAGTCTCCCATCCCCCCACTGCAGACTATCCTAGCCACACTCCCCTGTCAGCATTCACAGACCACTTTAGAAACAATCCCAGTTCGTCACAGCTGTGGATCCTGATTAGACCTTAAAGACACAGCATTTAGGTGGTAGTATATCTACACAGCAGACTTAGCCCAGGTTCTCACCTGGGTGTTGCCTCTGACCCCCGTCCTGTCCACAGACAAAAAGCTCCCAGCTGGGCTTGGGGGGGCTTTAAACCCAGCTGGCTGGCCTGGCTCAGGGGTGAGAATCCAGGTGCTGGTAGCTCCCCCACCCAACACTCACACTTTGCAATGAGGACACAGCAATGAGCCCTCCAGCGTCTTCCCACGATTCCCCCTGTACCCTCATCACCGCAGCCTCCTTTTCCTCCCCCTCTGGTGCGCTGTGCCCCTAATGCTGGGTTCACACCATTTCCAGCCCATCATGCCTGTGACGAAGTGGGACTGTTCTTAATGTTTTCCTCAGTTTCCCCTATGCAGTTCTTAAGTATCTAGGTGGTGGGATAAGGGTGTATGGTTGCTGCAGAGCAAAGGGCCAGTGTACATAAATGCCCGACACTCTGTCTCCTAGCAACTGATGGCCTGGGCCCCTCCTCTGCAAAGGTGCCAACTGAAGGTGTTGGAGACAAAGGGATCAGGTGACCTCCTGGCCTGGGAAAGAGACAAAGCCCAGAGGAGGAGGGGCTGGACGGGAGTTTGGAGCTAGCTGGGGACGGGAAGGGAGGGCAGACGGGGGTCTGCCTTGCTGGGCCCCAGAATGGACCCGGCAGAGGGGTCCTGTTCGCTGGACCTACAAGCTCTGTTTTAGACCGTGTTCCTGTCGTCTAATAAACCTCTGTTTTACTGGCTGGCTGAGAGTCACGTCTGACTGCGAAGTGGGGGGTGCAGAACCCTTTGGCTTCCCCAGGACCCCGCCTGGGCGGACTCGCTGTGGGAAGCGCACGGAGGGGCATATGCTGAATGCTCCCAGGAGAGACCCAGGAGGTGAAGCCGTGTGAGCTTCTTGCCCTGAAGACGGTCTGCTCCGAGGGAGAGGAGGCTCCCCAAAGTCCTGACTGGCTTTGTGGGGAGCAGTTCCAGAGCATCACCTGGGGACTCCGTGACAACTGGTAGCAGAGGTGGGATGTACTGCACCCCGTGAATGGCGCTTCTTGCAGTAAGTGACTGGGGAGCAGTAAAACAGGGGGGATACCAAGGACCAGGCGTGCTGAAGGCTCAGAGAGGGACGGTTTCAGGGAGCGATTAACCCCTAGGAGTGTGTGACCAGTGAGAAGGACTGTTGGAGTAACGGGGTCCCCCTGAGGACTGCAGCGAGCAGTCTCAGGGGCGGAGGAGCTTGCTGCTCGACCCTGGGAGAGAGAAGGACTTTTGCTGTAACAGGGTTCTCCTGGGGATTGCAGCGAGCGGTCCCAGGGGCGGAGGAGTCTGAAGCTCGACCCTGGCAAAGGGGTGGTGACCACGAGAAGGGCTGGCACACTAGGGGTTCTTCCTGGAAACCGTGGGGGAGCTGAGAGCACATGGGCCTGTGAGTCCAAAGCAACTTGGGAACAGTGAAGTGATGGCCTATCACCATCTCCTCAAGAAGGACATTGTAATCCTGTGCAAAAAGAGAGGGTTACGCATTGGGAAGTTCACCAAGGCCCAGTTAATCGTGCAGCTGGAGGACGAGGACCGCTCTAAGGAGCAGATTCCTGACCCAGACGGGGCTACAAGAGGATCTGGGAGCAGCTGGAGCAGTAGCCAGGCATCCCCAAGAGTCTGGTCCCCAACCAGACGGGGGTCTTCACGATCGGGTTCCTCATCAGGGGATCGGAGACGGTTGGGACTGGAGCTGAGTCTGAGAGAGCGAGAGGACCATGAGAGAGAGCAAGAGCCCGAGGAAAAGCTGCAGGAGAAGCAGCAGCAGCATGGACTGGCGCTGGTGGAGCGGAGAGGCATAGGGGGCTCCCCAGGGGTGAGTGGGGGTAGACCCCGGGCTGCCAGTTCCGCAGGGAGCCTCGACACTAAATTGCTGCCCCTGGTTAAGGAGGGAGGAGATGTGGATGCCCACCACACGGCCTTCACGCAGGCTGGTGATTTGAACCAGGGGGATCCTGCGGAAAAGCCCCGGTATCTAGCTCCCTTGCTGGAACCCAAGGCCATAGACACTGTCAGCCAGATGGGTGGGGTGGTAGACAGGCTCCCACTCCTGGCCCCGGCCTATATGTCTGCGTGGAGTCTCCTGGGCTCAGGCCCCTCGGATCCCCAGTGGGAGCGGAAGGTGATGGTCAATGCGGGGACATGCCTGGGGTGGCGAGACCCTGGGACAGAGAGAACTGTTGTCGGGCCCTGGGTGGTGCAGCTGCAGATGCTGAGGGGCTGTGTGACCTGGGTGAAGGTCCCAGGGATGAAGTCCCTCACCCTGCCTATGGCCTGGATCCCTGTGCAGACCCAGGAGGATATCAGCTGTGAGGTCCTGTTGGGGGGGGCTGTGACCCCAGGCCCAGCCAGCGAGAGGGAGCAGGTCCCATTCCCTTCCCCAGCAGCTGAATTCCAGACCGAGCTGCAGAGGGATCCCTCCTTGGAGAAGCTGAGGGAACTTGCTGGCCACAGCGCTGCAAACCCCCTTGGGGAAGGCTGCAGGGACAGAGTCCTGTGGGAGAAGGGATTCCTGTACCAGGAATGGGCTCCCCAAGGGGAAGTAGAACTGTGGGGAATAGGGAGGCAGCTGGTGGTGCCCCAGGAATCCACAGGGTTCTTCCCTTTCGAGCTGCTGTATGGGAGGAAAGTGAGGGGACCCCTGGACCTGAAAAGGGAGGATTGGGAGGAGAAGGGGGAAGACCCCCTGGTGGATCTCTTCCCTGAGGTGGGAGCCAATCTCCCCATCAGGTGTTCCCCATTCAGAGTCACTGGGAAAGTAGCCCAGAACCTGGAGAGAGAGGTCAAGGACATGCTGGCTTTAGATGTGATCCAGCCGTTCAACAGCCCACGGGCCTCACCTGTGGGGCTGGTCCCCAAGGAAGATGGGATGATCTGGTTCTGCGGGGACTATTGGAAGCTTAAAGCTATCACAGTGTCCGATGCCTACCCCATGCCTAGGCCTGGGGAGATTCTAGACAAGCTGAGGGGGATGGAGAACTTGGCCCTGGCGTACATCGATGACATGTGTGTCTTTAGCCAGACCTGGGAGGGACATATGTCCCAGGTGAAGAGGGTGCTGGGCTGCCTCAAGGAGGTGGGATTGACGGTAAAAGCTGGAAAGTGTAAGGGGGGACGACGACAGAGGTGTTGTATCTGGGCCACAAGGTGGGGAGCGGCTGCCCAAGCCCAGAGCTGGCCAAGGTCAAGGTAGGGGCTCTTAACCAAGAGAGCCCGAATCGCAGCCCTCCAGACCAAAGTGCTGGAAGAAGACCCAGTCCCAGTTTGAACCCCAGGGGTATTGGGGTGGCAAAAGGGCACGGGCCACATAAACCTTCCCACATGCGGCCTGCGAGTGCCATCAAGCGCACTCGAACTAAGGGAGGGCATGAAACTGGAAGGGCCTGGTGTAACTCTCACCAAGGAATGGGAGAGATGTTGGGGCATCCATGGGAACGTTGGTGGGTTCGAACTTCCCCAGGTCACTGGCTGCAGTGACCCCGCTGAGTTCAGTCTCGAAGGGGGGAGAGATGTGACGAAGTGGGACTGTTCTTAATGTTTTCCTCAGTTTCCCCTATGCAGTTCTTAAGTATCTAGGTGGTGGGATAAGGGTGTATGGTTGCTGCAGAACAAAGGGCCAGTGTACATAAATGCCCGACACTCTGTCTCCTAGCAACTGATGGCCTGGGCCCCTCCTCTGCAAAGGTGCCAACTGAAGGTGTTGGAGACAAAGGGATCAGGTGACCTCCTGGCCTGGGAAAGAGACAAAGGCCAGAGAAGGAGGGGCTGGACGGGAGTTTGAAGTTAGCTGGGGACTGGAAGGGAGGGCAGACGGGGGTCTGCCTTGCTGGGCCCCAGAATGGACCCGGCGGAGGGGTCCCGTTCGCTGGACCTACAAGCTCTGTTTTAGACCGTGTTCCTGTCGTCTAATAAACCTCTGTTTTACTGGCTGGCTGAGAGTCACGTCTGACTGTGAAGTGGGGGGTGCAGAACCCTTTGGCTTCCCCAGGACCCCGCCTGGGCGGACTCGCTGTGGGAAGCGCACGGAGGGGCATATGCTGAATGCTCCCAGGAGAGACCCAGGAGGTGAAGCCGTGTGAGCTTCTTGCCCTGAAGACAGTCTGCTCAGAGGGAGAGGAGGCTCCCCAAAGTCCTGCCTGGCTTTGTGGGGAGCAGTTCCAGAGCATCGCCCGGGGACTCTGTGACAGCCTGACAGTGCCATGAACATGTGATGAGTGTGTGCACGTGGGCGTGATGGAGCGTGTGAGCCCGACAGTGGGGTGCGATGAGTGTGCAATGAGTATGTGCACTTGGGTGTGACGGTACATGTGAGCCCGCCAGTGCCGTGCGATGAGCATGTGCACATGGGCGTGATGGAGCACGAGCCTGACAGTACTGTCCCATGAGCGTGCAACGAGTGTGTGCATGTGGGAGCAACGGAGCACGTGAGCCCAGCAGTGCCGTGCCATCAGCATGCGATGACCGTGTGCACCTGGGCGTGATGGAGCGTGAGCCGGACAGTGCTGTGCGATGAGTGTGCCATGAGCGAGCCAAGGCCTGCACGTGCCCTTTCACTCTGTACGTGCGAGCGCCCCCCAGAGCTGACTGCCTGAGTCTCAGCGCGTGCGCACGGACCTAGGACCCTTGGGCCGGTCCCTGTTGGCGCCGGGGGGGGATGACCCACAAGTTGCCTGTAATATTTTGGTGAGCGAGGTGCCCACCGGACAGGGGACGGCGACCCTGCGGGCGCCGAAGAGTTAAAGCTGCTCCCGGGCCGGGTGGAGACGCCAGGGTCGGTGATGCTGCGGTGGGGGCTGGATGGGCCTGGGTCACTGGAGGGGCCGGACGGACAAGGGGACCCCTGCGGCCGGGGCAGCCACGGCTCGCGAAGGAGATTCCCCACCCCCCACAGGGGCTGAGCTGGGGAATAGAGGGGAGGTGTCGGGGGGCTCAGAGTTGGGAGCCAGGCCGGCAACGGGCCCACACTTGCTCCTGTGCCTGGCTGGGCACCAGGTGACTGAGAAACTCACCCTGGCCCACGCTGGAGCCCCAGAGCATGGGTGTGGGCCCCTAGGCTGTGGGGGGGCCTAGAGCATGTGTGGGGCGGTCCGGGAGGGGGCGTTACTCACCCAGGGCCTGGCTGTCGTTGGCCACGCAGCGGCGCTGGGACCCATCCAGCACGAGGGGGGGCGAGCAGGCGCAGTAGAAGGAGCCGATGGTGTTCACGCAGCCCCCCCCCACGCAGGGCTCTGCCTCCTCGTCACGGCACTCGTCATTATCTGGGACCGACACGGGGGGGTCACCGCGGCATCGCCCCCACAGCCACTCCAGACGGTGCGTCTCAGAGGAGCAGCCATTGGGCCAGGGCCAGTTCAGGGGGCTGGGAGTTTGGGGTTGGGCTGCGGGGCCGGGGGTTAGGCTGGGGGGCAGGGGCTGAGTTGGGGGGCTGGGAGGTCTCACCGATGCACTCCAGGTGGTGTGTCTCGTAGTAGTAGCTGTTGGGCCGGAGGGCTGGGGCTGAGTTGGGGGGCCGGGGGAGGAGGCCTGGGGGGCCGGGGCTGAGTTGGGGGCCGGGGGAGGAGGCCTGGGGGGGCCGAGGCTGAGTTGGGGGGGCCGGGGGTTGGGTTGGGGGGCTGGGGAGGAGGCTGGGGGGGACGGGCTGGGTTGGGGGGTACGGGGTTGGGCTGGGGGCCAGGGGTTGGGGGTCTGGGGGGTCTCACCGATGCACTCCAGGTGATGTGTCTCGTAGTAGTAGCCGTTGGGGCAGTAGCAGGCGTAGCCGGGGGCGCTGTTGAGGCAGACGCCCCCCCGGCACAGCTGGGCGCTGAAGAGCGCGCACTCGTCCATGTCTGGCGGGGGAGACACACCATGGGGGGGACTGTCTGGCGTCCTCTGTCTGCCTCAGTTTCCTTCTGCACTTGGCCTCGCTACCGGGGGGGCAGCGCAGAGATGGGAGGGGTCTGTCACGGGGGGGGTGGGATGGATGGGCCAAGGGAGGGTCCAGGAGCCCCCTGGCCTGACCCCGAGCGCGGGCAGGTGGAGCCGGGGAGCCCGACAGGGGGACGCAGAGCTTGGAACTGGGCCGGACAGAAGAGAAACGCGTCCCGCGGCCGCCCCTATCTGCCCCCAGTGGGTGGATGGAGACAGACGCTGGCCTCACCGGGCAGAGCAACCGGGGGGAAGCAGCAGGGGGGAGGCATGTGGGCGAGTGGGGCCCCTGGGGTTCCTCCGAGGAGCCATTTAATGGCTGGGGCGTGCGCCGAGCCGATGCAGTCAGGAGCACCCAGAGGCCTGGCTCCCCTCAGCTGTCACCTACCCCTGCCCCCTGCACAGAGCCCCCACAAGGGGTGTCAGGCAGCACCGACCTGTGAGCGCGGCGAGGGGTCCCGTCGCGGCGTAGCCGTTCCCACGGGGGCACAGGGCCTGGTACTCCGCTAGAACCGGAGAGAGCGCGCATGAGAGCCGGGAACCTCCCTCCGCATCCCACGGCGCCCCCCCAGCACTCACAGGGAGCCCCCGCTCCAACTGCTGGCCCCACTCCCCTCCCAGAGCCAGGAGAGAACCCAGGAGTCCTGGCTCTCAGCTCCCCCCCCGCGACCCCAACTCCCCTCCCAGAGCCAGGAAAGAACTCAGGAGTCCTGGCTCCCAGACCCCCCTGCTCTAACCACTAGCCCCCACTCCCCTCCCAGAGCTGGGGAGAGAACCCAGGAGTCCTGTGCCCGGGTGGGGGCTGGGCAGGGCCCCCCGTACCTGTGCCCGGGTGGGGGCAGGGCTGGGCCGGGCCCCCCCGTACTTGTGCCCGGGTGGGGGCTGGGCAGGGCCCCCCGTACCTGTGCCCGGGTGGGGGCTGGGCTGGGCCGGGCCCCCCCGTACCTGTGCCCGGGTGGGGGCAGGGCTGGGCCGGGCCCCCCCATACCTGTGCCTGGGTGGGGGCTGGGCAGGGCCCCCCGTACCTGTGCCCGGGTGTGGGCAGGGCTGGGCCGGGCAGGCCGGGCCCCAGGCCTGGCCCAGGCTGCAGCAGCACTCCTGGCGGGTGGCGTTGGTGGCCAGCACCTTCTCGCAGGCCTGGTAGTAGCACTGCTGGCGGCTGGGGTCCCGCACGGGCGCTCCAGGCTCGGGCTCGGGCTGGGGGACGGGCAGGCGGCCGGCGGGCTGGGCTGCAAGGCAAGATGGGGCGGGAAGCCCCAGTGAGACGGGCAGGCCAGGACCTCAGCCCGGCCTCACCCGGCCTGGGGAGACGCCACCCAGGAGCCCCCTGTGGCCATCACGCCCCCGGTTCTTCCTAGGAATATTAGGAGACGAGTGTGGGCTAATTCTGACGTGTTTCATACAGGATGGGCCCTGCGCGGGGTCGTCGGAAAGGTCACGACGCACTGAATTGGGAGGCAGGCCTCGTGGCGGGATCGGACGTTGGGAACATTGTCTGTGCGCCTGTCACCGGCGTGTTCACACGGGGGACGCCCGCTAGGCAGGACGCAGTCAGTCTAGACGGCCGGCTGGGAAGGGCCATAGGGGGAACAATAGCTAATCTCTCACCAGGGAGACTTCCTGCGGCAGGGCCGTAGCAACAAAGAACGTGGCCCCCTCCGAACATATGTCCGGGCGGGGCCCCTTACAATGCAGAAACTGGAATGCGGTATTTATTTTGCCACTTTTAGGGGCCCCCTCCGGTCGGAGGGTACGGAGGGCGCTCGCTACGCCTCTGTCCTGCGGGTGCTACAAACAGCCTCTGGCTCATGGCTGCTATGAGATTATGGGGTCATGTGACCAAGTCACCTGGTACTGGCCTCCATCTTGGAATCCCAGTGTTTTCCCCATGAAAGGCTGGGAACGAAGCTTGGAGATAAAGGATTCCCGCCATATGCAAAAGCTATTTAAGACAGGGGAGCGACTCCTGCCCAGAGAGACTCCTGGAAACAAGGACTGAACTGGGGGAAGGGCTGAGGCCGGGCTCAGGGGGTTTCTAGCCTGCGAGAGGAGTTCCTGGGCTCTGCAAGTGCAGCCCCTCGAGAATCTCTGCAAACTGCCTAAATCCACAATTAGGGGGAGAATTTGCTACTCCTCTCCAATCGCCTTAGATTGCACGTTTGTTTATCTGCTTGGATCTGTTTGTTATCCCTTGACATCTCTCTTCTGTAGTTAATGAACCGGTCTAAGATCAGTGCGTGGAAAACGTTACCGGGGGCCAAAGCTGTTGCGTCTCCCTCTCCACAGTGCGGGAGGGGGCGAATTTCATGAGCTCATGCTGTACAGGTCCCCCAGCCGACCCCCACAGACCAGCCCCCCTCCCCCTGGTGCCTGCCCCCCATCCAAATGCCCCCCTCCCTGCACCCTCCCCCAGCAGACACCCCCTCCCTCCAGTGCCCAGTCCCCCCTCTCCGCACCCCTCCCCCAGCGTTGCCCCCCCACTCACGGGGGCTGGGCGGGCGGGTGCAGCGTCCCGTCATGGGGTCGAACTCCTGGGCGCTGCTGGGGCAGATGCAGAGGAAGGACCCCTCCACGTTCTCACAGAGCTCGGCCCCGCACACGCCCTGCAGCGTCTCGCACTCGTTCACATCTGGGGGGGCGGGGGGGGCAGCTGGTGAGTGGGGCGGGGGGGCCCACCTTTCAGCTCCCCCATCCGCCCTGTCCCCTGCCCACCCCCAGCAGCCCCCAGACCCTGGCCTGCCCCCCGACCCCCAGGAGCCCCCCCACCCCCGGCAGCCCCCCAGACCCTGGCCTGCCCCCCACCCCCAGCAGCCCCCCCAGACCCTGGCAGTGGCGCCCATCGCGGGTGGTCTCGTAGCCCTGGTCGCAGAGGCAGTGGAAGGAGCCGGGCAGGTTGTGGCACATGGCGTGGTCCCCGCACAGCGTCCCGTTCGCACACTCGTCCACGTCTGAAACAGCCAACAGCCGGTCACCAGGGCGCCCACAGCTCCGCCCCCACAGCTCCCATGGCGCCCGCAGTCCCCCCCCCGGTTCCCCTGGCCCCCCCCCCCCCCCCCCCATGGTTCCCATGGACCCACTCCCATGTCCTGTTCTCCAAGCTCAAACCCAGCGCTCACTGGCTCGGCCCCTCCCCGGGCAAACACCCTCTGCCCCACAGCACTCACCAACGCAGGCCCCAGCAGCACCGGCCCGGTAGCCCGGTTCGCAGGCGGGGACGCAGCGGTAGGAGCCGGGCTGGTTCTCACAGCGCTGGGCCCCACACAGGGAGCCCCCATACTCCTGGCACTCGTCGACGTCTGGGGGCGGAGGGGGTGGGCACCATCAGGATCCGGCCATGGGGGATGGGGGGGCAGCTCGGCCCAACCCGGGGCTAAGGGGGGCAGGGCTGGTTCTCTTTGCAACCCCCCAGGACTCTCCATGGCCGGGGCTGGGGGCAGCCCAGCAGGTGCGATCCCAGTGCGACCCCCAGGGAATGGGGCACGTTACCCCCAACGCTCCAGAACGGGATCCCCCCGCCCATGGGCATGAACCCGCCAGCCACCCGCACCCCGGCACTCACCGACGCAGGCCCCGGCAGCACCGGCCCGGTAGCCCGGCTCGCAGGCGGGGACGCAGCGGTAGGAGCCGGGCTGGTTCTCACAGCGCTGGGCCCCACACAGGGCGCCCCCATACTCCTGGCACTCGTCCACATCTGGGGGGTGGGGGGCAGTCAGCGGCACAGGCAGGGGTGGGAGGGTGCTGGGTCCGCCCCCCCCACCCCCCCGGAGCGGAGAAGAGTTCAGCAGAGCAGTGACGGGACGGGACCCCGGCCTCTGGGCAGTGCTTAGCCACACCCCAGTGGGAAGGGGGCAGAACACCCCACACATGGGGTGAGGGGCAGAGCCCTGGCCCCGCCCCCGGCGCTTGGTCTACCCCAGGCCCTGCCCCGGGGCGAGGGGGTGTCAGGTCCCAGCCTGGATCTGCAGGGCTGCAGCAAGTGCTCTGCCTGGGGGGGGCTGGAACCAGCCACAGCAAGGGGGGACCCCAGCCCCCTGCCCACAGAGCTCCCCCGGGCGTCTCACCCTGGCAGGCGCGCTTGTCGGGGCCGGCGCGGAAGCCGGCCGGGCAGTGGCAGTCGAAGGAACCGTCCGTGTTGGCACAGCGCCCGCCCTCGCACACACCCCCGCGCTGGCACTCGTCCACGTCTGCGAAGGGAGACACGGCTCAGCCGGCGGGATGGACCCCCCACCCTCGCCCCAGGGGACCCGGACCCTCCCCTCACATGCATTGTGTCCTCTGCTCCCCGGACGCCTGGGTCCTCCCCCATCCCCTTGCAGGAGGCGCCGCGGTCCCTGGACGCCTGGGTCTCCCCGCATGAGGTGCTGTGGTCCCCGGACGCCTGGGTCCCGTACCGAGGCAGGCGGTGCCGCTGGGCGCGGGGGCGAAGCCCGGGGCGCACAGGCAGGTGTAGGAGCCGTCGGTGTTGAGACATTCGCCGTGCGGGAAGCAGAACTCACCCTCCAGGCATTCGTTGACATCTGCAAAGGGGGGGCGTCAGCAGGGTGGGGGCCCGGCCCAGCCCGGCTGGCCCCCCGTGTCCCGCACTTACCTGCGCAGGGGCCCCCCGGCGCGCCCACCCGGTACCCCTGGCCGCACTGGCAGCGGAAGGAGCCCTCGGTGTTGGAGCAGCGGCCGTGGGGGCCGCAGGGCGAGCCTGTCACGCACTCGTCAATGTCTGCAAGCGAGGGGCAGAGTCAGAGCGGGGGGGGGGAAGAGCTGAGGGGGAACTTAGCCTGGGGGGCAGCACCCATGGGGGGAAAGGGAGGTTGGGGGGCCCAGTGCTTGCAGGGGGAGGGCTGGGGGAAAAGCTGGGGGTGGAAGGGCAGGAGGGGGCCAGCGCCCATGGATGGAGGTTGTGGGGCCCAGCGCCTGCAGGGGGGGGACAGCCGGGAAGGGG